AATTATTTGTAATCTTAAATTTTAAGTAATATGCATCAATAAATAGTACTTCATGCATAAAAAATGATTTTTAAGAGTTTTTGTCAAATGTTTTATAATATAGTATATATATATATATATAATAATTATAATAATTAAATATAATATATTATTAACTTGATTTGATATTTTATAGATTTAAAAGAAAAAAAACTAAAATATATTATAAATCTGATGCAACTTGCCATTTAAAAAGATTTTGCATCACGTGGTTTGTAATGCCGACCCCCACCCGTGGTTTGTAATGCCACCACTATGTCGTCCTCTAAATCTATATATCCTCCCCTCCCAAATCCCCCATTACAATTTACACAGATCCGCCATGGCTGCAAAGCTCAACCTTCTGCTATTCAGTCTCCTCTTCATCGCCGCCGTCGTCCGATCTGTAAGCTCCTCCTCTCCTCATCTTCTCTCCATTCATTCAAACACGATTTAACCTAATATTAATTCTTGAATCAATGCAGGATGATGCGGATTGTATATACTCCGTTTACGTCAGAACTGGATCCATACTGAAAGCCGGCACCGATTCCAACATCACCTTAACACTATACGACGATGCTGGTTATGGCATTCGGATCAAGAATTTAGAGGCTTGGGGTGGACTAATGGGTCCTGGGTACAACTACTTCGAGAGGGGAAACCTGGACTTGTTCAGCGGCAGAGGTCCTTGTTTGACCGGAACACCGTGTGAGATGAACATCACCTCCGACGGCACCGGATCTCACCACGGTTGGTATTGTAACTACGTGGAGGTGACGACCACCGGAGCACACATCCCCTGCGCACAACAGACCTTCACGGTCGAACAATGGCTTGCTACCGACACGTCACCATACGAGCTCACCACCGTCCGAGACTACTGTGGATCGTCGTCCAATGCATCCGGTGAGCGGCGCCACGTAATCCGTGAGTCTACTTCTTCACTAATTTCCGTCGTCTGAGATGCAATCGGATTGAAATGAAGGTTAGTTGTGGTGTGTTTTGTGGAGCATCCGTGCTAATAAACGCTTGAATGGCGGAAAAAGTGATTGAAGATTTGGATTTTGTAGTGAGAAAACCACATGGAGGGGCGGAGCTTGTAGTTGTTGAGCTCTGAATTCCATCAGAAACTCTTTTTGACATTAATTCATTCAAAACATGTTTCCTTCTTCATTTGCTCATGTTTATTTATGGTAAAGCTTAAGATATCGAATATTGAATTGCTTCAATTCATCATACATCTCTACATATTCTCTCATTCTGTTGCCTATATAAATCATAAATCCTTTCATTTACAACGTTGTGAACATTGAAATGAACCTCTTTTGATCAAATCGTGCATTTGAAACGATTGATGTATGTAAATATGAAATTGGTGGGATTCATTTATTGGAACACATGAATGCTTTTAACGATTATGATAATTCATTCTAGATTTAGGGGTGTTTGTCATTGCTTATTTAAAGTGGTTATTAACTTTTTTCCGTGTGTTACCGGTGATAAGAAGTTTTTACATGTATAAACTAATCCAAACACCTTGTTACCAGCTTATTACGTTTTAGTATCGTCATAAACTAATCTAAACAATTTTTATAGAACTCTTATAAACACTTTTAAAAAAAAAAAAAAAAAAACATAAGTAATCCCAAATCCCCCTCGAAAGGGGAAAAACCATTCTAGCTTTAAAGATCTAGCCATAATAGTTTGTGTTTTACAAGCAAAAATTTTCAAGTTTTGACATAAAATATAAGGAGAGAAATAATTCAGCAAAAGAAAATTACATACGGACGTCCGTGGACTCGTTACATAGTGCACATCACATCCTTATCCCTTTGATCACTTCCTTGACACATCTCTAACCCACCTGTATTTTCATCCTTATAATTAATAATTTATTTATGTTTTCGTCCTTTGATTCCTTTACACTTACAAGTAGGAGTTAATAAGATAAGAATAACAATGAATTGTAAATTATAAGAACGAAAATCATAAATTAAAAACCATAAAATTATAGTATAGGAAACTGATACTGGTCATAGAAATTAGCTCAAATGACCATTTTCTTCATTCAAATTGGTCTTCTCCCTTTGATTTTTCTAAATATCACTACTTCCACAATATCCAATTATCCATTGCTGAGCTAGCTAAAATACCCAAAAAAAAAATATCAAATTCAACCGGTTTATCTTGACAAATGCATATCTATCTTGAATTTGATTTTTCCTTTTGGCCTTTAGTTAAATCCTCAATATTACGGAAGTAATGTCATTTGGGTCAACCCGGGAAAAAAAAACGATTAAAAAAAGAATTTGAATAAGTGAAATGGTCGAAGTAGAAAAGAAATCATAATTTTAACAAATGGAAAAAACGTAACTAACTAGATTAAATTAAATTCCAAAACAGGATACTGAGAATGGTACATGGACACATACAAATACAACCACAATTGCAGATTTCTTGAGATGTTGAAAGATAATGTTTCTAATAACACTTGGAACATTCAATGGGACCCAGTCCATATCCACAACATTTTCATCACCTCACTTAAAATAAATCTCTATATTTCTATTTTATTTTGTCCCTCCTATGATAAATATTTTATTTTAACAAAATAAATATTTACTTGAGTAAATTACATTCGTCCATATGGTTTGTTAAAAATTACGGATTTATTCCCTATTGTTTGCAATTCATTTTTATTTTCGTCTCTAAGTCCAAAACACTACTTTTAAGTATGAAGGCCTAAAATAGATTTTAGTGGTAAAACGAAAAAGATAAAAAAAAAATAAATTTTAAATCATAAAAATGAGAAAGGTAATAAATTATAAATCACAGGGATGAAAACTGAAATTTCAAAATCGAAAAGAAAAAATAAAAAAATTCAACAAACCACAGGGACTGAAAATGTAATTTACTATATTTATTTTTTACTTGTATCCTTGATTATAAGATGAAAAAGTCCATCGCTCTATTTATTTAGTAAAAAGAAAAAATCTAAAACCGAAGACCAAGAGAGTTTTTTAGGCAAGGGATAGAAAAACATCAGTCTAACAAATAATAATAATAATAATAATAATATATCAGTTTTATCATACCAAAAAAGGATAAGGCCTGCATGCAGCAGCAGCAGCATCCAGAGATGGTTCCCATCCCTTACAACAATAAACAAAATTTAACTCATGAATAAGAATTAGTCCCCAAAAAACCAACTCTAAAATACTCTTTGATCCCTAGTTTTATTGCTCCATAAACCATCCTATTTCTAAATCATGACTGCTCTGCTCTGTCTTATTTCTCCCAATCCAGTGATGGAACCAAACTAGAATCCTCTTGGGACCTACCCTTTGTGTCAATTTCAAGTATAAATAACAACAAGTATAATTTTTGGATTAGATAAAATCAGGCTGGCCGGTAGACGTCAAGCAACGATGCCACATTCGGCTGTTTGGGTCCACGGTCCTCGGATAAGAAATGACTTCAGGAATAGGAAGGTAGACATAGTGGGTGTTGCATATACCTACTGTGATGCCACTGTATCCAGCAAATGCCCCATGCACCTGTTACCACAAACCATCCAAATCAGAAACCAAACCAACCCAGTTTCGAAAGTAGGGCCTGGGAGGGGTAGGATCGAGAGGTTGTTTCCGTACGAAACTAAGGTGTGTGAAAGCAGGCAATAAGAGGTAGAATAACGACTCAGTGATAATCAAACTAACAATGTAATCGAGCAAGACATGCAAAGCAAGTAGAAAACGAATGTAAATAGCAAATTAATCATATCACAGGGAGCCTCTATTTGCCTACTCTCTACCATCTCTCAATAACCTTGACGTCGGCCACTCAAGTCTTGTGTAATTGTCCTTCAAAGAGGGAAAACCGTTCGAATGGTGGCTGCTGGTAACTACGATTGAACTAAGACCAATTTTGTTAGACTCAAGCCAGTTCACTGTTATACGCTCCTTGAACATTTCATTATTTTCCAATTTAACAATACATCTCCATTTGACTTCAATCTCGGTTTCCAGTAGCCACCAAGGGACCACCCTGTCGCCACCACCACCCATCTTCATGGGGGTTGGTCTACCACCGCCACGCCAACCAGTTGGAAATATAATGAAAGAAGCAAGAGGGACAATGTGTGTAAACTCACCTGGATGATACTAGTCGGATACTAATTTAACATATACACAAGGAAATTAGCAGATCTAAGTTCAAAGCACATCTTCAGCCTCCAATAATAGACATTGCAATTTTTGGTAATTGCATACACTTGAGGGTCTTCGATGGTTAAATAATAGAAAAACACCACTTCACTGTAGTAGAGAGATTTTGAAGTCAAGCTAGAGATCAAATGTAACCTTTTCCATCAAAACCTAACACCCCCAAAATACATCAAAACCTCTAGCGATCAACCTAAAGGAGATGTTACAGAAGTCGGAAGACTTTTCCACCAACATTGTGACAAATGCTGCAGAAGATGGCGGTTATTCCATAGATCATCTGCCACCATCATTAGGACTCAACTGCCCACGTCATCAGTGCATCCACCACTACCGTCTCTACACCAACAACTTTCTAGGGCAGGGAATTTCGGTTTTTGAGAAAGACTACTATACCCTTTGCAAACAGAGTTGTTAAGAAATGGAAACATCATGCAGCTGTCAAGTAATAGCTAAGCTGTAATTTTTGGTCAATTTGCCATTCAGCCAGCACTTAGGGGGGGCGTGAAATATTACCCTTCTAATAGCAGGATGGCGAGTGTGTTGCACATAATACCCTGGGTTTACAACTGCTACCAACTGGTCATACAAGAAAATATGCAAGCACAGTAAACTTACAGCGTTTTGACCCAGCACAGTGCAGAGAATTCCATCTGATGCATTTGCTCGGCAGGCGCGGATCATGTATGTAGGATCAATGTATTTTACATCAGCTGGATCACCAATCTCCTTGAAATATTTTTTTATCTGAAAGAGTATCATTTAAATAGATTATAATGGATATGATACAACTGGAACTTCTGAAATATATAACAAAGGAGCTAGATCATTGAATCAATTCCAATAGTGATCTGTAAATAACCTGTGAAACTTTGACTTGAAAATAGAATTATGCAAGAAATCCAGATAATATTTACAGCGTACATGATTGATTCTATGTTGAAGTCATTAAAAATAAGGACTAATTGCCGGTTTGTCTCAATTAAACAATATATCTTGTAATATAATCATTCTCACAAACAGAAATGGGATAGAACTGATCAAGTTGAATTTGATCACAAACAGGAGAGAGGGTGCTGCATTCAATAACCTCCTGTTGTATATGAACACCAATATCCCCAAGTACAGTGTTCCCAGATGCATCCTTAGCATTTGTTTTCTCGACAAAGCTCTGCATTCAATAACACAATTGAAAGAGAGAAAACAACAGAAAATATGACATTAAACATCTAAAAGACTGATCTAACTATGGTTTTTAACAAGAAGACATGATTTATCAACATAACAAAACTAACCTGACCAGCTCCCTCTGCTACACAGATGACCGCTGATCCCTTTGTCTCAAGTAGATACTTAAGATGTTTTAGAACGCCATGAGGTCCATGCAACTCAAAGGGTACCTTTAGTTTCAAGTTAAAAATTGTGTAAATGACTCAATAATCACAAGGAACAATTTCAAAGAGTTCTAACCAATATGCAGCAAAATAATACCTCAGGAATCAAACATATATCAATCTGCCCACTAGCAAGAGCTGCTTGCATAGCTATAAAACCACTACTACGCCCCATCAATTTTACAATTCCAACACCACGATAAGCACTATGTGCCTGCAAAAGAAGAAGCATTCTTACAGTTCGTAAGCACGAGAATAGGTTTATAACAAAGAAGGATATATGGTAGAAGCTAAATGTTCACATCCTTTACGACCACTGAAATTAGGTGGAAGATAGTGTTGATCACTATATTTCAGTAAATAACAAAAATATACCTCAATATACGCAGAATTTATTGCTCTTTGTGCTTCCTCGACAGCAGTATCAAAACCAAATGTCTTGTCCATCAGCAGAATATCATTATCTATAGTTTTGGGAACACCAACTACTGCCACCTTCAACCCTCGTTTTCGCAACTAACCACAAGAAATGATTCAAATTTGACAAAAGCATTGGTGTTTATAAAATGATAATTGCATAATAGTGGAGCAATCTCACAGGAAAAAAAATGAACCAGATAGATATAACAAGAAAGGCATGCTGAATCTTTTTCCAGAAAAGAAAGGCATACTGAATCATAGAGCTGCAAACTTAAATTGTAAAATTTGCCTTCAATCTCATTGTGTTCTATAAGAAACCAATGTTAACATAATATTGCATGTGTTTATAGGAAACCAAATAGAAAGATGGACCAACTTAACAACCTCATTGTGTATTGCATTGGCACCTGCATGTGTTCCATTTCCACCTAGCACAAAAAGCATGTTGATCCCTCTTTCCTGCCACCGTTCAAAGAGACCTCCATCACATCCTTAGGTAAATAGCAGTAATAACCAAAGAGCAAATATGATATTATCGATACCGAAAAAGAGGACAAACAACTGAGCTAAGTACCTGCATGCTGTCCACAATTTCACTGACATTCGGCCCTCCACGAGAAACTCCTAACAAGCTTCCACCAGAAAGATGGACATTCTGAACCACCTTCCTAGATAACTAATGATCACGGACAAGGTTAGTTACCTACTGTCTAGAAGGCATAACGGAAGAAGGAAAAGAATAAATATAAGCATTCAATGAAACCAGAGACTGAACTTAAAAACAACTATGAAGGTTCCACATGAAGCATCATAAAGATGACCATTTAGTTCACATAAAAAATCCTTATTCATATGATTATTATATGGCCATAATGGACAACAAATTACTCCCTCTGTCCCAAAATAAATTTGCACAATGAAAAAGGCACACGGTTTAAGAATCGAGTAATTGGTAGACTTTTTAATTAACTAAATGACAATTATACCCTTGATAATAGAGGGAGTATTGAATTTATCCATCTCATAATTAAGGGTAAAATTGGAAAACAGGACTTACTTTTGGAAGTGGACGCTTGTTTCGGGACAAATTAAAATGTGGACACTTATTTTGGGACGGAGGGAGTAACACAACACTAATTAAGGAACCTAACTATTCTCATAAGCAGGAGACAACACAACTACAAATCAATTTGCATAATCACCATGGAGATCCTTATGCATGACAATATATATGCTTGATTAGCAGAACAAAATCAGGTCTGTGAAATACTCATGATCAAGGATATGAAAGTGGAAAATCATGAAACATTTACCAGCTTTAAAAACAAATTAAAACAATTAACACAATTGTCAAACCAATCAAACGAGCGAGAAGATAAAGAATATGAGTAGAAAGTAAGTAACCCAGCAGACAAGACTCCAAACCATGATGGATGATCTAGTTCAAACTCTATCAAATCCTGATGTTAAAACTATGAACAATACAGGCTCAAAAACACATATAAGAATATTTGTGATAACTCTGCGCACTGAACTACTTAGCCACAGAACCATTACTTAATGAAGAAATTCTCATCAGCCATACGGCTCCATGACTACTATTTTCAATATTACCATAACCCTTATAATTTCCTTAGTTGGCAAGAATTGGGAGATTGTTCGTTTTCTTGTGTTATTTGTCTTCTTCTAGAGCTTGTTACAAGATAACTGTAACAGTCCATTGGCTGTGAACAATTTCTCATTTGTTCTGTGCCAGGTTCCTTTAGTTCCATGGGATTTAATTCATTGATGCATATAATCACTAAAAGATGTGTCCTGGCTGTATCCAAATTCATAACACCTTATAAATGTTGATATTTGAGAAGTACTAAAGTTATAAAAAGAAACTTACTGGTATTTCAGCTAATTCTTTGCCAAATCCACGATATCCAAAAGGAATCCCCACAATCTTTTTCACACCATAAATCTCAAGGGTGATGACAATCTGTAGCCACTCCAAACGATAAGATAGAAGTTAATAACTTAAACTGATTAAAGTAAAATAAAATCTTCTGGAACCAGAAAATAGAAAAGTGGAGCAACGTTTCTTCCCAGACATACAAAAGAGATGAAAGATAATAACATAATCATTTAAAGTAAGCAGTGTCATTTTAGTTTTCTTTCTTACAGGATAACCAACAGAATTAGTATCGAAAGTTCCAAAATATTTGACAACATTTTTGGAAGAAAATTTGGCCTGACGGGTGGAGCTCCAAACAGTGTTATAAAAAGCGTTAAGTGAACCTAGGTTGTCAAGTGACCTTGTCATAATTAATCATCTAAGCAGGGATTTAAGTGGGTGATTTGAATAGACTCATTAATCAGTTCATTTTATATAAAAATATAATTATTTCTAGACAATATGAGTATCTGCAACTATAAATTTCAATAGTATATTATTTTGATACATTACTTTTCTGCATACTAATTCTTTTGGGCTCATAACTATGATTGTTACAAATTGGCTATCAAAAACAAGAAGTTCATTTTAGTTTAGTAAGAAACATAATTTAAATTGGGTGAAATATGTTTAATTGGGCTGCCAATACCTGGCCTCTAATTTATTAAACCACTTAATACCGTAAAAACAGATTAATCTTCACCTAGCCTGATGAGCATGATGAATCCAACTTAGTTTTTTGATATTTTGATGCTTATTCCATAATTGTTTATCAATTGAAAAGGTGGGCATCAGCACTAAACACAGATTTTTTGAACTTGCCACCAATAAAGTAGCATGAGTGTTATTTACTTGATCAATGAGATACGAAAAATATTAAAAAAAGACAAGTCACATTCAGAAACCACCTGTCGTATGACATCATTAAGTCCAGGACAGAGTCCACCACATGTTATAATTGCAGCCTTCACGTCTTCTGGTTTGAAGTATATTTTCTCACGAGGACCAGCACGATGAATCCTAGAAAGAGTTAATCATTGTTATAGATTTTTCGGTTACTATTTCTAAATAGCAAGACACATGACCGAAAAGAGAAAAAAGAATTAAGAGTTTTTCCACCAAATAAGAATTACAACTTTTTTGGGGACGGAAAGAGTATAAAGCTTGCCAATCAAAATACAGCTGCTATTAGCACTTTTGAATGACCTCTTTATGTTTAGAATTTGATGTTCTGGAGCATCAGCTCTTTATGTTTAAAAAGCAGAAGTTCCTTGCAGTTACTAGATTCACCACAGTTGTGTAACTTAATTTCATGGCATGTTAGAAACAGATTTGCACTTGTGCATAGCTTTTCAGATTACACCAACTAGCAATTTAAATGAAAGAGAAGATAAAACTTTTTATGTAATATTCAAAGTGATATTAAGTAAGGGATCTTTTCCTTCCCAAGCACATGGCTTTGGAGCTCATGCCTTCAATCGGGCACGGTTTAGTCCTTTGACTATAATGTCAGATAAGGAGAACACAAACACAAGGACCTTTCAATGACCTCTGGTATTTTCATCCAATGACATGCTCTAACTACTCTAAAGTAAAGAGATGTAACATCCATCTTTACACACATATTATGACTATTAGTCAAATGTCCAAAATATCAACCATCATGACAAAATAGACGGTAGGAATTTGATTACTTGTAGCTGTAGTTCTCAGATCAAGATCGATACTGCACATTAAATCCAACATCATAAAAAAAAATTAATTGTGTTGTGACTAGGAACCAGATAGGCAACTTAGAAGACAAGTTATCCGGAAAATGAAAACTGCAATTGTGAAATAGAATCGCAAACAAAAAACAGTTGTCATTTTGATAAGGAGTTGTTAATATATTTTCAAACGTAAACCAGAGTCTATATGCTGCTAGTGCTGCAGATATTTAAGTCGAACAATCTACTTTAAAGTTGAAATTCAACTTAATTTTTTTTCATGAAAATTGCAAATAAAGAAAAACTCAATCTATGTTGTACTCTAGAAAACCATGTTGCCAGCCCCATTCCAACCCCCAAACAATAATACATTAAATACTTATACAACCAACTGCTCAAAAACTGTATCATTCTTTGATGTCATGTTCTTGCCATTTCCATGTTACATTAGTATTCATTAGATCTCAAGATAGAGAACTGTTCATAAGATCCTGATATCTAAAGCTTATGAACCTACAAAATGCTTCAGTTATTTATAAATTAGAAATATACAACCAACGAATAGACAGAAGTATCACAAAGAAATTCATTGATAACAAGTGAAGTATAAATCATTTGCACTTTCCCTTTTGTAACAAAATGTTGATTCCGAATTTGCTTGTACATGAAGTATAAGAAACCAAGTGGTGAGACCCTTATTAATTCTTCAGAAGGCAAGTTTGCAATGAACCCTATGTAAATCCAAATGGTGAGAACCTTTGTTTTAAAGCCATACAGCTTTGAAAACATGCCTTGATTACGAATTGAGTTAGACACATTGCCAATCACATATGACAAGGACAAAGATCTGGTGTCCCCAATTTTTACGACCATCAAAACTACCCAGGATTGACATTCGATAGTTCAGAAGCAAGATCCTAGATCCAACAAAGGAAAAGAGCCCAAAGACATAAATAGGAGGATAGTAATATAAACAATTCATTGCAACTCTCCTTGTCCACCAGCTCCATGTACAACTACAAACAATGTGAACATTTCCTTCCTCTATGCAAAGTTGTTAAAGGCTGAAGGCGCACTTAGGCGCAAAGGGGTCCTGGGGTCTAGGCGTGAGGCGCAGGCCTCAGGAATGCAAGGCGCATCTTGTCATATATATATATATATATATATATATATATACATACGCATTTTTAATCAACAGCAGTGGATTACAAATTTGGAGCAAGTAAGTCATTTTTTTTATTTTAATGCAAAGGAATTTTCAGATATGGAATTATGGAAGTGCTAAATTTATAATGAAACTTTTCCTTGCTTCACTTGTAAACATTAAAAAAGGTTTTTCATAGTGCTTACCATTGCTCCACCCATGTACAATCAGGATCGATACACTCAGCGCCTGCAGATGTTGGGGAGGAATACCGAATAACCTATAATGTGGCATAGAATTTTATCATTTCACGGTAGTTACTCATTCTTGGAGCAATTACTTTTTCCAGGATTTGATATAACGCCAGGTGATGTATCCCAATGCAAAGTAAAAAAAAATGTTCTTGAACCAAATCAAATATTGAATACCATTACTTGGACCTTTTGACTTTCTTGACTAAGAGGTACCTTTTCACTAGGAACTTAAAGTGACACAATACCAATAAAGTAAGGTTTGAAGAAATAGTTAGAAACAATTTGGGGAATGTAAGACCCCAATTAAGCAGAATGCTATAATATATGTTCACTCTTAAAAGAAACTATATGCCAAAAAAAAAAGCACACCAACAGAATAAACAAATAGAAAATAAATCAAGTAACAGGCAAGAGCAGCTGTAAGTGCACTACAAATGAAACCATGACTCATCAAGAGAAAAAACTAGAAAGATTGTTCAGACCACGAGAAAAATATATAACGAACTGTGGGAAGATAAGTTTTACTTCATCATGGAGTCTACAATTACAGAAGCAGCAAAGTCAGATCAGTTACCACATGACAAGAAGATTGAAATCAGTTCATCCATGGTTTGTTAATGAAATTAAACTAACATGCTTGTTAATTGTTAAGATACTCAATATCCTTGAAGATACTCAACATCCTTGAAGATACTCGATATCATTGTAAAATAGGAATTGGAGATTATGGGTAATCTCCTTGTAATTTGCTGCTGTGAATATCTTAGGAATCCTTTCATTTTCTTCTCATATTCTTTGTGTATATAGCCTTTGTACCTCCCTCTTTTGAGACAAGTGAAATAAACAAAGAATTCTACATGGTACCAGAGCTCGATTTCCTAACAATCATTAGTTTCGCGGATCGAAATTTTTTGGTACGTTTTTTTTCCTTAGATTGAAATTTTTGTTCATCATTTTTTTCCTTGATCGACAAGTTTCCTTGGGTCGGAAGTTTTCTGCTCGTCAGTTTCTTTGGCACCCTGTGAGTGCGATTATCCTCATCTCTGTTCGTCGACTATTTGGCACCCTGTGAGTGCGTCGTTCGCTTTCTCGTTTGCTAAGTTCTAAGTTCTACGTCCTAAGTTCTACGTTCTCTCTTCTGGTTCATGATTTATTGGAAGATGACTAGAGAAGACAAAACACCTGACAGTAACAGTAGTTTACGTGTACCCGAGATGCTTGCAATAAATGTTAAGTTCACCGACAACAAGCTTAATGGCTCCAACTACTTTGAGTGGAGCAAACTATTCGTATCTATCTCCGGAGCATGGGAATGGCTTCTCATCTCACATCGGATCCTCCTAAAGGTAACGGTTCTTATTCATGGTTCCAAAGTGATGCTCGTTTGTACTTGCAAATTATCAATACTACTGAGCCTTCTGTTTCGTCTCTAGTTAGTCACTGTGAATATGTGAAGGAACTTATGGATTATCTTTATTTTTTGTATTCTAGACAAAGTAACATCTCTCAAATCTATAGTATTTGTAAGTCCTTTCATCGTGGAGAATAACAGGACCGATCACTCACTACGTATGTCATGGAGTTCAAGAAAGTGTATGAAGAGCTTAACTCTCTTCTTCCATTAAGTGCTGATGTCAAAGCCATGCAGACTCAGAGGGAACAAGTGGCTGTTATCAGTTTCTTGATTGGTTTGTGACCAGAAGTTGACTCTATCAGATCTCAGTTCTTGAATGAATCTGCTGTTCCTTCTCTTCAAGAAACATTTACCCATGTTCTTAGAAATGAGAATCTTTAGGCTTCTCAAACTTCTGATCACAACAGTGCTCTGGTTGGTCGAAGGGGATTTCTTGGTGGCTACCGAGGAGGATTTCGTGGGGGTCACCGTGGTGGCTCTAGAGATGGCGATAGTAACCGAACAACTGACCCATGGGCTACTATTCCAGATTCTGATGATTTTGAGAATTACTAATGCCATGAGTTAGGTCACACCAAGCACACATGTAAGAAGCTTTTGGCCAGACATTCGAGGAGTTCATCAGCACACGTTTCCTCTGCCTCAGATAGTACTATTACTATACCCACAAAAGAATATGCTCGACTTTTAGGGACTGAGAATTCCACTGCATACTGCATTTGCTGAGACATGTAACTATAGTACTTGCCTATTATCTTCTGCCTCCAAATGGGTCATTGATTCAGGTGCTTCAGATCACATGACAGGTAATCCCACCATCTTTTCTAATTTCAATAAACACAAATCCCATCACATGTCACAATTGTTGAAAGGTCTACCACACGTCCTTGGTTCTGGCACCATCGATCTTACCCCGTCTTTTTCTTTATCTTCCGTATTGAGTCTACCTAATTTCTCGTTCAACTTGTTATCAGTCAGCAAAATTACCCATGCTTTAAATTGTTATGTCTCATTCTTTCTTGATTTTTGTGTCTTTCAAGATCTGTCAACGAAGAGAATTATTGGTAGAGGGCGGGAGACTGATGGCCTATACATATTTGAACATCAAGTACCTTCCTCATTGACTTGTTCCAGCTCATCGTCTCCACTTGAAGTTCATTGTCGATTAGGTTATCCATCTTTACAGAATATGAAGAAGTTGTGTCCTGAGTTTTCTTATTTACCTTCTCTACAGTGTGAGTCTTGTCAGTTTGACAAACATGAGTGTATTCATTTAAGTCCTAGAGTTTACAATAAGCAAGCCTCATCCCCATTTGAGTTAGTCCGTTATGATGTTTGGGGACCATGTCCAGTTACTTCAAAACTTGGGTTTAAGTATTTAGTTACATTTGTTGATGATTACTCTCGCACTACTTGGCTTTACTTTATGAAAAATCGATCTAAGGTATTCACACATTTTTGTTCACTCTATGCTGAGATTAAAACCCAGTTTAAAGTCTCCATTTAAACTCTTCATAGTGATAATCCAAAAGAATATTTGTCCCAAACATTTCAGTCATATATGATTCAAAATGGCATTCTTCATGAGTCTTTCTATGTTGACACACCAGCCCAAAATGGGGTTGCGGAACGAAAAAATCGTCATCTCTAGAGGTAGCTCAGGCTCTATTATTTCACATGATTGTTCCTAAAGTCTTATGGGCTGATGCGGTTGCTACCGCTTGTTTTCTTATCAACCGAATGCCTTCCGCTATCTTGGATGGTAAAAGTCCTTTCTCAATTTTGTTTCCTACATAATCATTGTTTCCTGTCGACCCAAAAATCTTTGGTAGTTCCTATTTTGTCTGTGATACCCGACCTCACATAACTAAGTTGGATCCAAAGTCTCTGAAATGTGTCTTTCTTGGTTACTCTCGACTTCAAAAATAGTACAAGTGTTAATCGATATATTGTATCACGACACTTTACATTCCATGAGAATATGCTCTTCCTTCCTATGTCCACTCCTTGCGACCCAAGAGATAGTGATGATTTGTTGGTGTATACCATACCTGTTCCTAAGTCTACTACCTCATCCGACTCGACACAGACACAAGAGCCTACTAAACCACCGATAGTTCATGTATATAATAGGCGGCAACGACCTACATCGGATCCCGACCCAACACCATCTTCATCATTGTCTACAGATCTGCCTAATGATGATCCTCTTGCTTCAAGTGATCCACCACCTTCCGATACACAGGTTCTGATGTCGATGTTCCCATTGCTCTTCGGAATGGTAAGCACTCGTGTACTTGCCCTATTTCTTCTGTTGTTTCCTATGATAAACATTCTTCACGTTTGCATTCTTTGATCTCTACACTTGATTCTTTATCTGTTCTTAAAACGGTTGGTGAAGCTTTAGCCCATCCTGGATGGCGGGATGCTATGATTGATGAGATGAATGCTCTCGATCATAATGATACATGGGATTTGGTAGAGTTACCTGCACGCAAAAAGGCAATTGGCTATAAATAGGTATTTACTGTGAAAGTTAATCCAAATGGATCCATGGCTCTTCTGGAAGCCTGATTGGTAGCCAAAAGATATGCTCAGACTTATAGGGTCGAGTACCACTAGACATTTTCTCTATGGCTAAGGTACCCTCCATTCGTCTGTTTGTTTCATTAGTCGCTACTTACGACTGGGTACTACACCAACTGGATGTGAAAAATGTCTTCTTGCATGGTGATTTACACGAGGAAGTCTATATGGAGCAACCACCCGGGTTTGTTGCTCAGGGGAGTCTGGTAGAGTATGTAAACTGCATAAATCATTGTATGGTTTAAAGCAATCCCCTCGTGCTTGGTTTGGACGGTTTAATGCCGTAGTGACTGAGTTTGGATTACGGAGGAGCTCTTATGACCATTCTATGTTCTTTACTTCGTCATCTTCCGGATGTATTCTACTAGTGGTATACATTGATGACATTGTGATTACTGGGAGTGATGAGACTGGGATCAAGAAGCTAAAAGATTTCCTTGCATCTCGGTTTCAAACAAAGGACCTAGGTCCTTTAAATTACTTCTTGGGAATTGAAGTATCTTGTACTCGGAAAGGGATATGTTTGTCTCAACGAAAATATTGTTTGGATATATTGAATAACTCTAATATGATTGAAACAAAACCTTGTGAGGTCCCAATGATTCCAAATATGAAATTGAAAGCGGACGATGGATATCTACTTGAGGATCTAGAAAAGTACAGAAGAATCGTGGGAAAGCTAAACTACCTGATGATTACACGTCCTGACATCGCTTTTCCAGTGAGTGTACTAAGTCAGTTTATGTCATCTCCGAGAACTCCACATTGGCATGTTGTTAGGCATATACTAAAGTACCTAAAGGGTGCTCCTGGTCTTGGTATCCTTTATCAAAATCACGGTCATCATGTCATAGAAGTGTTCACAAATGCCGACTATAATGGGATCCTACTACTAGGCGGTCTACGACAGGCTATTGTGTGTTGGTTGGAGGGAATCTAGTTTCGTGGAAAAGAAAGAAACAGAATACCGTTTCCCGGTCAAGTGCTGAATTTGAATACAGGGCTATGGCCCAAACCACTTGCGAGCTGATATGGTTCGTAATCTGCTAGGTGAAATTGGGTTTGCTCAATCTAAACCAATGAACCTATATTGTGATAATGAGGAGGCTATCCACATTGCAAACAATCCCGTGTTTCATGAAAGAACAAAACACATCGAGGTTAACTGCAATCTATCTCGTGTTTCATGAAAGAACAAAAGCATTACTTGGTTTGCAATCTATTTTGTTTGTAACAAGTTGGGCATGATTAACATCTATGCTCCAATTTGAGGGGGAGTGTTAAGATACTCAATATCCTTGAAGATACCCGATATCATTGTAAAATAGGAATTGGAGATTATGGGTAATATCTCCTTGTAATTTGTTGTTGTGAATATCTTAGGAATCCTTTCCTTTTCTTCTCATATTCCTTGTGTATATATGGCCTTTGTACCTCCCTCTTTTGAGACAAGTGAAATAAACAAAGAATTCTACATTATTGAAATGATAATAAATGAAACAAGTTGAATGTAAATTATTATTTTTATAAAGCACAACTTCACAAGATTTTAACAATTAAAGAGTTGTTTATGTAATTTGAAAAATGTAAAAAGACCGAGAATTTTAATAATTTATCCCTTGACCAATGTCACAATAAGAGGCGATTATACTAGAAAATTGAGCTTCTCTACGATAAAATTACTATAAAACGAATAATACAAATATGCACATCGTTTGTCTGATAAAACAAATACATATGCTACAAAGTTATTTTTCAATAACTACCTACGTTTGGGAGTAAACCAAACTTGATATGGAATTGCTAAGAAAATTTGATGCCATACATCCTCATCAAGTAATTTGGCTTTGATTAGTGGGTGGACAAGGTTATTGTGCAACACATTTGTGATTGACCAGTAATCGCCAGAACTCATGTTGTTGGAAATAATATCTACTACTAGATACTTAGCCCGATCATTAGGACAAGTAGAAAAAATAGTTCAGAATTAGATGTGTCTTGATAGTGTAAGTTTTTCTTCTGTTCACTATGACCAATTAAGTCAGTTGTTCCTCATGACACTATTGTGCATATCAGGGTGAAGTTAGTAAACCTTAATCATATAGACACCAACAAAATTGGAGAAAAATACAAAATTTTAAGGTCTAAGACGTCATTAAAAAATTTGTTAAATCTATTCAAATAGCAATATTTAGAACACAAGAATACAAGGATCGTAATTGATGTGCAGAAGTTCCATGCACATCAATGATGCATCTATTTGATGAAGTTAAATGTATCAATAGCGATGATAATTAATTACAAAGGGAGCTAACGTGCATGATCATTACAAACAAACCAAACCAACCTAACCCAAACGAACTTCCCTTTTACAGATCTAATACCATCAATCACGCAAAATGCAACATCTTAAACGGAATTCTGTACTAACAATACAACACTCAAGACAAACCAAATCATCTAATGTAACATAATTTGTCTAAGCACACAATACAACACCAAGATGCTAATATTCATATTTTTAGCATACATGAAGTGCATGCAATATTACATATGTCTATGAGTGTAGAGAGCTACTCATAACCCATGAACATGATTAGTAACCCACCATCAATTTGGCAAAATTCTGGATGATCACCTAAACAGTCGTAAACAACAAGGTTGATGCTCTTACAAAGGAAATCATCACAAAGAGAGTTGTAACTCATATACCTTAAGTAGCACCCTATCGTTATTATTGATGTATCCATGCCACTCTTCATCCGAAGGATACCCTTTTGCGAATTCTTCGCTCACTGGAGTCCTGTATCCCAAAATATAATAATTGAATGGAGCAAAACTGAAACCACACTTCCAAAGAAGTGCAGTATTAATGCCAAGGTTATAAAATAATATCACACATGGGATTGTTTGTCGTGTCGTGCACTAGTAGGTTACGAGATTGCAATAAAATCAATCATGCATATGAGTGTTTGTAAATCCCCTGTTATATGATGTCACACAATTATGCATATGATTTCATACAAGATTCTTAATAGAGAAAAATATGTCCTTATAAAAACTACTCCCTTGGTCTCTACATTCTGCAAATGAAGTCGACTTCTGATTTTGAGAACTCAAGACTCATGCTTTTCCTATTTTCAAATTATGAATGTGGTATTAGCATTTTTCTCCAAACTTTTCTAGCATAATATACCTCCTTTGTCGTTCTTTGCATTTTATGATTTTTGCAATAACCAAAAAAATTCTTTGTCAAAATTTGATGTTAAACGTAACTCACTGCTGCTCAAATGCGACCATGGACTTCTCTCATCATGTAGATAGTACATAATAAATCAAAGTAGGAATTAAAAAATCACTAGACAACAACTAACTTAATTGATGCATGACTGATCTTTTGAAGTAGGTGGGGCAGTGATTTAAGAAATTCCTTCACCGTTTTCGATTAATTAAGCAATCACCACCAGTAAAATGCAAATTTATAACTTTGAATTTCAATAACAACAAAACAAAAGAACACGAATACAAAGAAGAATTAAGTTTTGGATACCTCATTCTGAGACAGAAAGTGGAGGGGTAGGAAACGGCGTCAGGGAAAATATCACGCATGTGAGGAATGTTGAATCGCTTCTCGAAGTCATCTTCGAACTTCGATTTCCATTCAGGATCGCTAAAATCAATAGCCGACATTGGATTCTTCCCTGCAAATGCTACACAACGACGACTTCTCTTGCAAAGCCGGATCATGTTAGGTCTATCTCCGGGACAAGCAAAAACTGAGCCTATCAGTCCATGGAAGAAAGTGCGATCAACAGTTTTGGCCGGAAGAATAAGGTTGGAGGTGATCGCCGGCGACAGCGATCCCATTGTTGAACAGTTGTTCGGAGAGAGAGAGAGAGAGAGATCGGAAGGAAAATGACTTTCGGGCGAAGTAGTCAGAGTGGCACTTCCTCAGTTTCAACGGACTTCTAAAAGCCGCTTTTTTTTTTGTTTTTTTGTACAAATTATTATATGAGAATACAAATAATATATGTATAATGTTGTTTAAGGGTGACATAGACGGGTATCTGCCCTATTTAGTAGAAACCGGAATCGGTGGTTCTTGAAATATTGAAACCGGAACTGGTTAGAGCGGTTCTTGAATTTTTAGAACCGCTTCCGGTTCCGGGTACCCGCTTTCTAAAATATTAAAATTTTGTTATTTAAAAATAAAAAATAAAACATTGCCAAAACACTAAATAAATAAACAAAAATACAAATTATACTAATGGTTACAAATATTGTTTAACGATTACAAGTCATAATAGACTAATAGGAAATGTTGAAAGTTTAACGATTACATACTATAATGGTAAATGTTTAAAGTTTAACGATTATATACTACGTATCCAATTAAACACAAAATTTGAAAAAATACGAATCATTTTATCTCGTGACTGCGATGATTCTGAATCTCGTTTCATATTCTCATAGTGAGAGGCCTCACGCCCTAGAGTATGAGGCATAGAGGCGGGACCAAAAATCTAATCTAGAGTTCTAAGTTCTTGACCTAATTTAAATTTAGTATTAAAAGAAAATTAATTATTTTTTTAAGTGAAAAATACCGGGTACCCGCCGGTTTTGGGTACCCGGTCTCGGAACTGGTTTCGACGGGTACCCGGCGGGTAACGGTTCCAAAAAATTGAGAACCGGAACCATTCTCAATCGGTTCCGTATTTTAGGAACCGAAACCACTCATATCGGTTCCAAGGCAGTTCCGGTTCCGCAAGTGGGTACCCGGTTCCGCTGCTCACCGTCACCCCTAATGTTGTTCCCTTTGATTTTTTTTGCCCTTAAAGGCAATTACCAAATGATGAATTCACACTCGTGCATTTAAGGATGATGATTTGTTCCGATTCTATGGGGAACCTGGTTCACCCGATCCGAACGAGGATGAGAGTTCCTTATTAAAACGGATCCTGAGGCCGGGGATCCCTGGTAGACTCAAACTGGGACGGGGCTGAGGGATGTTGCTCAAACCGAGGCCGGAGCCAGGATTCCCAGTAGACTCAAACTAACGGATATTCTTCAAGGGGTTTGACCGTGGAAGGAATGTTAATCTCCGTATCCGTCGGGGACAGGGGCATGTCGGGGCCTATTACTAAAAACTAGGGTCGGGCCCGGGGAGGCGGGGATTACAAAACCTACCACATCCCCACCCTAATGCCATGCCTAAGTATACTAATAAAATGATTATTTTATTATTTTTGTAAAAAAAAATCTGAAAAATAATCATTTTTTTTTCTTTTTTTTCCTATCAAAAAAATAAAATGATTATTTTTCAGATTTTTTTTTACAAAATGACCATAAAAATCGTCTTTAAAAATCTAACTTTTTATCATTTACAAAATCATCATTTTCTATTGCAAATCGTTCTCAGGGTAATTTTAACTGTTATTTCGTCCTGTAATATAAACATTTTATGACGCAACTTTTTGGTTGGTTTGGCAACTTAATGACAACGTGGTTAGTCATAGGGGTGATTGTACATGTTATTTTTTATTATAGGATGATTTGTATAAAATGTCCATTAGAGGAGACCATTTCATCACCATCAACTTCCACCAACACCACCAACCATCGTTAACAATTATCGTTTGCCGACGTCCACCGACATCTTCCACTGTAGACGGACGTCCTGACGTCCACCACCAACTGTTGACATTTACCACCGTCCACGGACACCACCACCATACACCTCCGTCGTCCACCACCATCCGCCGCCACCTACCACTGTCCACTGTTATATGCCATGGAACAAACTGTAATGAATTGTAATGTTTTTAATTGAATTTAAGAATCTATTTTTGTCTAGCATTTAACTTAATAATCTATTTTTTTTATTTTTGTTTAGATTATCTTTGTACAACATTTAATTTATGATTTTTTAATAAGTTTTCTACCAATGTATAGTGATGTTGAGGGCACAAATACAAGTTATTAAAAAACTAATGAAATATTAAAGAATAATCCAAGGAGGTCGCAGATGTTTAGAGAGATGTGTTTCGGCCCATGGTTAGATATATATATCTAACCAACATAGAGATCCATCCTCAATTAATTAGATGGTGCAATGTGATGACTCCTCTTTCCCTTCCCAATCCGAATAAATTTATTGTCGTGTTGGAGAATTCCATTTACGGTTTAGCAGACATGAGTTCTTTTTTATCACGATTTCCCAAATTGGGCCGGAGTTTGGCTCACCACATTGTACCATCCCCTCAATTAATACAAGGTTGTTTGGTAAAATGACCAAACATGCTGAAATTAAAGTCGATCATTTTATAAATAAAATTAATCGACTTAAATAATCAAGACATATCAGACGATGATGCGTTGCGTGTGTGTCTCGTAATCATGCTTCATAAGGTATCTCTAGAACTGAAAAAGAACCACATTCTCCAACATTGGATTTTACATTTGGTTGAAGATTTGGATTCATGGAACCAATATCTGTGGCGCTATATGAACCTGGCATATAAGCAGTTGAGAAATGCGTTTGAGCATCGCAAGCACAAAAGTTGGCCTTCGAACAAATATACTTGTATGGTTTTGTATATGCCTTCAAGGTCGGTTATTGTTGTTTATTTGTTTTATAAGATCTTATTTACGGATTATTGACATTTTCTCATAATGTTTTTTTGTAACCTACAATATTTGGATTTTGGAGAATTTTCCCCGTGGTCAAAAGTATTTTCGTTATAATTTGTCATTCCCTAGGGCCATTGGATGGAAATGAATGAGAAATATCAAGTGGGAAGAGTGTTGCAAGTTTGGGAAAATCGACAAGGTTGGGTTTCATTTATCATAAATTAAATTTACTAGTTTTAATTATAATATTTATGTTAAAAAAACACAGTATATTGATTTATATATTTTTAGAACACGTTTTGGCCCCTAACCTCATTGGTGAGGACACCTTTAGAGGAGTCGGCCCAATGGTAGATAGAAAGCATCGCCTTTTTTGGCGAATAATCGTAATGGACAGTTGGACCTAGATCATGGCATGGGCGACGAAGATGATAACGACAATGACGACGACGACGTCCCACCATCTGAAGTGCGTCAATCATTTATAGCACACACATCACAACCTCCACGGTATGAGACACAATGACATTCTTCTATGGCATGTACTGACATCCCTCAATGACGTTATGAATTTAACTAATGGAGTCTTGAGGTTGATGAAAAGTTCGCGTCAGTGACAGGTCTTATAAATGAAAAATATGGGTTTCTCGACGCAGAACTTAATAAGTTTGAGAACGATGTGTCAAAACCAGTATCTGAGGCTGACAATAGACCATACAGACATTGGCAGGGTGATGCACTAAATATGTTTAAGCTTTCTTATATTTTACCTTTACAAGTTAACAATTAAATAAACTTTTTAATTTATATTAGATAGTGCATACACAGTTTATGACGCATCAGTACTCTTCGATGGATGCAGTAAATTTATTTAAGGTTTTGATGTTTTTACTTAGAAGTTAACAATTAAATAAACTTTTTTTTAACCAAAGGGTCTTTGGCTTAGCGGTATCGTAGCCCTTGGCTTCCTAGGAGGTCAAGGGTTCAAACCTCACCAAAGGTGAGTAGGGTGTGTGAGTTTATTTGTTGCATTTGCCGTATATAAATATTATATACTTCAAAAAAAAAACTTTTTAATTTATATTGAATTATGCGTACTACCGTAGTAGTACTCTTCTCAAGATGCGGTAAATATGTTTAAACTTTTTGATGTTTTTACTTTACAAATTAAGAATTAAATAAACTTTTTAATTTATATTGGATTATGTGTACATAGTTTATGCCGCAGCAGGAACCTATGATGGATATGGTAAATATGTTTAAACTTTTTGATGTTTTAATTTACATGTTAACAACTAAATAAACATTTTAATTTATATTGGATTGTGCGTACGTAGTCTATGCTTTAGTAGGAACCTGCGACGGATGCGGGTAAATATGTTTAAGTTTTTTGATGTTTTACTTTACAAGTTAACAATTAAATAAACTTTTCAATATATATTGGATTGTGTGTACGCAGTTTATGGCACAACATTACTCTTCAATGGATGCAGTAAATATGTTTAAGGTTTTAATGTTTTTACTTTACAAGTTAACGAGTAAATAAACTTTTTAATTTATATTGAATTGTGCGTACGTAGTTTATGATGCAACAACACTCTTCTCAAGATGCGGTGAATATAGTTTTTTTTTATATTTTTACTTTACAAGTTAATAGTTAAATTAAATAAACTTTTACATTTATATTGGATTGTGTGTATGCAGTTTATGTCATAGCAGAGCCTGTGATGGATGTTGTACCATCTACATCATCAAGGGTCTCGTTTGTGCCGCATGAAGAAGTTTGTTTACCCAATGCACTTGAGAAGTGAGTGAGCAAGAAACCATGGTGGGCAAAATCTACATTTACGGCTATAAAGACAAAGAAACGGGACAAAAAAGTCGCCGACCAAATGCCGTTATCGATGCCCACACCGACTATATTTGACGTTGGCCAGTTGTATGATGCTGATCAGTTACCCATGATGCATTTATCGACATTATCTTATTGTCGGATTGAAAAGGTTTATTTGGTGAATATTGTTTGGTAGAGATGAATCAGGATTTTTGGGAAGTGAAGTATGAGGATTACATTCCTAATCAATTAGCTGAAAAACGTACATATCTGACCCATGGAAACATAATTAATCCGTTGTTTTTTATTTATAGCATCTTGATGCATGAAACACATATTTGCTCCGGAAGAGGCTATCGACTGATCGTTAGACCATCATGAGGCCATGTTGGATACCAAATCTAGAGAACTTGAATATTGTCCCCAATGAGCAAAAAGTTTACGACAACGGTACGGAA